AGTGAGATGCTTTTCGAGCTCAGATGCCCCCTGCAAGCAATCAGAGGGAGTTGGCTTCTTATCATGACAAGATTAAATGGTAGTATCTTCAGCGAACAATGCCACCTTAGATGTGAGAATATCTGGAAGATCGTTAATGTAAATTAAAAAGAGTATAGGGCCAAGGATTGAACCTTGGGGAACCCCTGAGGTTACAGAATAAGAAGAAGAGTGCTGTCCATCAAGGACAACTTTTATACTACGATTGGAAAGGAAGGATTCAATAATCTTAAAGATGTTTACAGATACACCATAAGAAGAAAGCTTATGGAGGAGACCAGCATGTAAACTTTATCAAACGCTTTAGAAATGTCAAGAGCAATGGCCTTAACCTCTCCACCTTTATCTAATGCGCGATAAAACCTATCGGTTATTACTGATAGCAAATCAGCCGTAGAACGAGAAGATCGAAATCCATACTGATGATCAGAAAGTAGGTTATGAGATTCAAGATGAGAGATTAAGTGTTTGTTAATTAAAGATTCAAAAACCTTGCTTATGATAGGAAGAAGACTAATGGGACGGTAGTTAGATGAGTCAGATCGCTCTCCAGAATTTTTAAAAATAGGGATAACAGATGCTGCTTTCCAGCAGGCTGGAAAACAAGACTCTGATAAGCACTTGTTGAATAGTTTTGAAAAGTTAGACGACAGCTCAGGAGAACACTTCTGCAAGACTATAACAGGTATGTTGTCCGGGCCGCAAGCTGTAGAAGAGTCTAAGCGGGAAATCACTTTAGATACAGAAGCTGGAGTGATACGAATGTCGAGCAATGAATCAACCTGTTTGACGGGTATATCAGGTAAAACGCAACTAGTGGCATCAAGAGATGATATTGATGAAAAGTTCTTGGCAAATAATTCAGCTTTGTCTTTAGGTGAGGTGTCAAACTCTGAACCGTACAAAAGAGGTGGAATTACAGACTTGCCCTTATTACTGATACTATTAAAGATTCTCCAAAAGTCACGAGAGCCTAATTTTTGTGATGAAATACGAGATTTCATGATCTGAGAATAGCCGCTTTTGGCGTTAGACAAAACCTTTTTACAATGGTTCCTAGCAGTAATAAAGAGACGTCTGTTTTCTGGAGAATTGTTTTGCTGATAGATATGGAAGTAATGGTTTCGATTGGCAATTGCAGCAGCACAATGTGAGGAAAACCATGGAGAAGAGTGAGGCTTGACCTGGAATCGTCGAGAGGGAATAAAGGATTCCATGCCAGCCTAAATCCATGAAGTTATGCAAGAAGCACATTTGTGAACAGGGAGACAAAAGATTTCTACCCAGGGGCCACCACGAAGAAAGTCAGATTCTAATGGTAAAGAAGAATGAGATAATAGTTTTAGAGAGACCAAACCATGATCAGACGCACCTAAGGGTGAGTGTGAAGAAACTGAACACTGACTAGGATCAGAAACAAGACATAAGTCGAGTAGAGAAGGTAAATGATTCGGGTTGTCTGGAAAGCGAGTTGGAAAGTTTACTATTTGAGTTAGGGATTGAGAAAGACAAAAGTTGTGGGCCTTAATGCCTGCAGAGTCACTGACACTAGAGCCAAGCCATTCAGTGTGATGAACATTAAAGTCACCGACAACAACAATATTGGCTGATGGATAAAGAATGAGGGCTTGGTCAATATAATCAGAAATAACATCAAGAAGAGTGCAGTCTTGGGATAAGGGAGAGCGATATAGAACAAAGATAAAGGTGATAGAGTGAAGTGGTGCTAAACGAAAGCACATAAAAGAGTAGTCTGTGGATTCAAACCTAGTTTCTTGACAAATGGGTGAATTCTTACGAATGTAAATGCCCAGGCCAAGCATGTGACTATTGGAGTCTTTACGAATTAAAGGAAGATAACCATCAACACTAAGATCACAAGATGAGACAGCTGAACTCAAATTAGTCTCACAAAGAGCAAGCAGGTCTGGTGAACTTTGCAAGAGATAAAACTCAACAGAAGAAAAGTTACTTCGAAGACAACGAATATTGGTGAATGATAGGTTTAGCAAACTTGGTGATGACTGTGGTTTTTTGTGTTTTATAGTTTTTGTTACTTTATTCATTTTTAAATTGTTAAAGAAAGAAGTTAATAATAATTATGAAATTGAAATCGCAATAAATGTTAAAATTTGAAAATTACGAGCTTGTGTTTACTATTTTCAAACCTTTTTATCCTAATTTTTAAAACATTTCTTTTGATGACACAATTTATTACATTATGGTGTAAGGGTTTGTCCATGAAGGACGTCAAACAGAATTTAAATAATAATTTAGAAGTAAAAGATCATTAGCTCTTTTCCACGGAAAATAAATCGCTATATAAAATTAAAAATTGTTCTTTAACTCCCACCAGTGAAAATAATATATATTCTAAAGAATATTCTTAGCGACAACAATATAAAATTAAAAGTAAATCAAATATATTATTCTTAACAATAATTAATTAATACACACTGATTATTTTATAATATAAAAAAATATTCAGAATATATGTTAGGAACTCGGAGTTTAATTTGTCTTGCCGTTGTGAAACCATGTTTAATATTGTGTTGATTTCATATTCATCTTCAATAAATGTTACAGACAGTTTTTTGTTTTATATTTGACGCTGTCCAAACAATGTATGCAGCGTTAAAGTGGAGTAGAAGAAGAAAGAATATAAGAAAAGGACCCCACACATTCCCGGTACACATTTTAATCTCAGGAGAGAGGGGGGGGGGCGAAATAAATTTAGGAAATTTTTTGACAAATTGCCAATTTTGTCCAAATGTATTTCTAGTTAACACCCTGTACATATATATATATATATATATATATATATATATATATATATATATATATATATATATATATATATATATATATATATATATATATATATATATATATATATATATATATATATATATATATATATATATGTATATATATATATATATATATATATATATATATATATATATATATATATATATATATATATATATATATATATGTATATATATATATATATATATATATATATATATATATATATATATATATATATATATATATATATATATATATATATATATATATATATATATATATATATATATATATATATATATATATTATTTTTGCACTAATATATGAGTGGGTATGAGTGGGTCAGAAGGGGTACAAGTGACAATTTTACCAAAATTAAGTTAAGTATAGAATTTGATAGAAGAAAAACATAACAACAGCTGAGTATATTTAACAAAAATACTTTAACTTTAAACAGCTGTATCTCAAAACTATGAAAATGTCACTTGTACCCCTTGGCTTCTGACCCACTCATATATATTTATATTTTGCACTCTAAAACAACTTTAATACACACACACACAAACACATACATAAATAAACAATTTATGTTGATTTTATTTGAGATTAAAAATATATATATATATATTTAAATAAGAGTGATAATAATGATATAGAAATAACAGTTAGCAATTATTTTTGATAATTTTACTTACCTAGGTTTATAATAAATTTATATGGTTTTTAATTTATTAAAACTTTAATTTTACACATTAAAAATTATTTACAAATAAAAAATTTAATTTATTAAAACCATATTATGTAACAGTTTTCTTCAAAATAATTATTAAATAACAAATATTTGTCATAAGAGATAAGCTCAAGGCTCGAGTTATATTAAAGTCATACTTTGAATTAAGTATTACTAGTTTTGTTATAAACCATCAAAATAAAACTTACAACAATTCCATATTTTCCAATTTTCAATATCACCATTTTTCAATGGCTCAGCTTTAAAATCCTAAAATATTTTGACAATAATTAATAAATAAATCCTTGGGTATCAAAATAACTGCATTTGTGAAAGTTTTTGTATATATATATACATATATATATATATCAGAGTCATGGCTAAGATATATATTTGTTGAACCCTAATGGAGGGGGGAAAGCAGCAAATTTAGGGGCCCTTTTGCCTATTTAAAAAGTTTATATATACATATATATATATATATATATATATATATATATATATATATATATATATATATATATATATATATATATATATATATATGATACATGAAGGTAATTATGCACCGTTAAAATGTATAAATTTAAAAAGAAGTAAAAATTTAAATAAAAAAACAACAATAAATCTACCAGAGGATGATTAACTTTCCAAGCTTTATATTCTTCTTTAAGTCTCTCATCAGCGATTGAATTTATAACAGGCTTCATATCAAATTTGTATTTTCTAGTACCTAAGTGATGTTTTCTAGTACCTAAGTAATGTTTTTTAGTACCAAAGTAAAAGTACTAATTTAATTTCATTAGGTTAATAATTAACTAACAGTAACTGCATTATAAAACCACTCTTTAAAATAGTTTTCAACATTAAAAAAAAAAATTATATCAATTTGCATTGGGTTAACAAAAATATTTAAATAAACCAAGTACTTAATTTATTTATAAATATTATAATTTAAATCAAAGTACTCTTAATTATTGGGGAAGAGAATTAGTTAACTTTTGAAAAATATTTCTATCTTCTGCAAGCCTAATATGAACTTTTTATTAATTTCCACTTGATGTCTACTAAGAAACTCTACCTACTTGATAAAATTAAAATCTTTCAACCTGTAATCAGGTCATAAAATATTATTATACCTGACCATTAGGTTTTCTGTATTGCAATAGTTTCACAAAATGATTCAATAAAAATATAGTTAAACACAAAAGAAAATAATTAATGAGGACATCGTCTTATTTTCATACAGTTATTAAAAAATTTTAATTAACACTGATTGCAGAGTTTGGTGGAAGCTGTCAAACATTTCTTGCCTTTATATAAATATAATGGAATATAATTAAGAATGTAATCTAAAAACAAAGTTATATAACTATATATAATGTTTTATTATAAAAAGTAAATAGATATTCATAAAAAAACTAATTTTTTAAGTTTTTCTTTAGGTCAGTATCTCTTTTAGCAGCAAATTTTTAGTGACACAATCAATGTAAATGTAATTTGTTTTTTTGCATTTTTTGATGTATACTGCAATTTTTTTTTGATAGATGTATACTGTAATTTTTTTGTGATGTAAACTGCAATTTTTTTGTGAGGTATTTTCCACTTTTTCTGGAAGTATACTGGAAGTTTAATAAATATTTGCTGTATTTATAACAACATCCATCTAATATTATTTATGTATTTTTGATTATCTTATTTACAGTAGATCATACAAGTAATTAGTCTTTTTAGACATTATAACTACAGCTATGACTAAAATACTAAATTAACATTGACTATTGTTTAAATTAAAAAGTTAAACTATTTTAACCCAGTAAAAGGTTAACTATTTTAACCTTAGTATTACCACTAAACACAGAATCAATCTTAACCAAATATTATAACATACGCATCGGCAATGTTATTTTCACAATAACATTAAAAAATGCATACAATATGCTATGGCTGACATACCTCATAGTAGTTTTAAAAGAAATTCTGAATTCAATGTTCCCAGATGGACAGATGACTATGTGGCAGACATGTTTTTGCCAGGGATGCATTTATCCAATGAGTTATTAATGGAAAACCTGAACATTGAATTATTTTTGAAAGAATGAAAAAACTGTGGCAGTATTTAAACTTGCTCTTCGGTAAAGTAAAAATCACACTGCACAAATTAAGGCTGACTGATGTACAGATATTATCAATAATGGTGCTCCAAAAAAGTTCAGAAACAATGTGTTTTAAAAGCAACTAATGTTGGTAGTATTAGCTAAGTTACTGGCGACAAGGACATTACCACTACATGAAAGATGCACTTTTAGATATAGCACAACTCAATTAATAATGATTAGCATAAAATACATTTTGAACAGAAAGTTAAATTGCATTGCTAGACAAACCTGATGGAATTGCCATAACAATGTTATTAATAACTTACATAAGCAACAACAGCAAAAAAACAGATGCTGGCCCAGATGACCTGTTTATGAAATCATTTGCATATGGAGTACATAGTTTATAGTACATAGTACAAAGATACATTTATCTTTAAAAGTCTTATATTAAGCATAACAAAAAAAAATCTTTTTTTTGTTATGCTTAATATGTGGTCAATCACCATCAATATTTTAACAGATTTAACTCATGTAAATAATAATAGAGCAATAGTGATTTCTCCTGCTTGTTCTAAAAAATTTTAAAGTATTTTATTAATAAGAATTTAATCTTCTAATAATACTGAAAAACTTCAGTTTGGTTTTTGGCAAATTCATTCCACAACGATTTGTACATACTATTTTAAAAAAATTATTTTTATAATACTTGAGGAAGCATATTATTAAAATTTATATGTTTTATAAATTTTAAAAAGCTTTTGATAATGTTAATTACTGGACTATGTATGATGCGGCTTTATGGCTTAATTTTAGTGTAAATATTCTGTTAAATTTACAATCTTGTTATAAGAAATGTACTAAAATGTTATTTGAAATTTAAATGTTACAAATACGAATTTGGCTTGCCTACTCTAGAAACTTTACTGTATAATTGCAGACATAGTCTTATATATCAGCTTGTCGCCTGCACCAGTAATGCTGCTGTGTGTGCAATAAGCAGAATTATTTAAAAGATTATGTTTATCTTAACTATTGACCTATTGTACTTGTTGTCTGAATCAATTAAATAGTAATTACCAGTGCGCGTGGGAGTGTGAATGTGGGTTGCATACCCTTTAGGTTTAAAATCTTTTATCGGTTCTATTGGTAAAATATTGTTCCAAAAAATATAAGCTACGAAAAAACAACTAATTATTTGCTACATAAACAAAATTGTGTTCAATTTATTATGATATAATAATAATGCACCAATCTTGTATTATACAAAAAAAATTTTTATAAAAATTGTAATGTCAATTTAAAAAATGCGGGAAACTTCCAGAAGACTATCATCATCGAATAAACGTTTTACATTAAAGATACTTTACTTTTTTGTATACTTTTTCTTAGTTTAGTTTAGATGGCATAAAATTAAAAAGATCTCAAGAAAAATGAAAAGATTTTTTTACAAAAATGCTAATGTTAAAAGAACAGGGGCCATCCATAACGTACGTACGTACGTACGTACATCCGTACGTACGTACGTACGTACATACGTACGTACGTACATACGTACGTACGTACATACGTACGTACGTACATACGTACGTACGTACGTACATATCCGTACGTACATACGTACGTACATCCATAACGTACGTACGTACGTACGTAAGTACGTACGCATGTATGGGGGGAGGGGGGTTATCCTGAAACGTACGAATGCGTACAGGGGGGGGAGGGTGTTAACGACAGCGAGTACTTACGCGGTTTAACTATCTCTCCTAAACTTCTTTTTAAAAACATTGAATTTCACGTTCAAAAATCATAATATAATATATATATATTTTTTTTTTCTGACTTCAAATACAATTGTTTTTTATTTTTCTTTATAAGTAACGAGGAGAGAAAAAATCGAGCTATAATATCTCCAAATAATGTTTTCCATTTTTTGCAACATAATTCGACTGTAGCAAGATGAAAAGTAACAAAACTGTAATCAAAGAAAACTTCTGGATTCTTTTTTTAATTACGAACCTGGTTTTTCCCATTTCTCTTAAAAGGTAAAAAATTTTGTTTTTAAAAAACAATAAAATAAAAAAAGGTAATATTATTATTTTTTTTATCATTAAAGTTAATATTAACATACATTAAGATTGCTAAGGACAGGCGAAGCGAAATGAACATACATGTGACAATGCATATGACAATCATTGTGATAATTGTAAAAAATAGTTACTTTAAATGCTGATGGAAACCAACACTTTTTATGATGCAATGTAACGGCAATTATCTTGAGTAAACTAAAACAAAAAAAACTTTTATGATTCTATTCGAAAACTCAATACGCCTCATTGGAAAAAAAACTTATTATTTATTATGACCAAGATGCCGCACGGGAACGAGAAAAAATACCTTCAATTCCTTGAGTTATATAAAAAAGCATATTCAACACTTGAAAAACAAAAGCAGTATCAGCAAGCACAAGAGTTGTGCAAAATAGTAAAAAACAATGAATCCTTGTATGAAAAAAAAATAAATGAGTTAAAAGAGAAAGTAACAAAGTCGAAAGTATCACTTATGTCATTCTGGGGAAATACCATTTCACCACCTAGCAAAAAGAAAAAAGATATCCATCCAGCGCCGTCTTCGTCAAATGAAACACGAAGTTTCCTAAATGCAACTACGACAGAGCCTGCAAGGATTGAAATTAGTAAGCTAATTTCTGTAATATTTTAAAAACTTTTTCTCTCTTGTGATTTTCTATACATTAGGCCGGGTGAATAAAAAAGAGCAATTGCTTTTTCTCAGTAACTGTTCAGCTTTGCGTGAATAAAAATTTGACCAAGATTGCTAAAATTTTTATTCACGTAAAGCTGAACAATTTACTCCAACAACGCTCAACTTTACGTAAATAGAAATTTGAGGATAATTGCTCAATTTTTTATTCACGTAAAACTGAACAATTACTGAGTAAAAGCAATTGCTCTTTTTTATTCACCCGGCCTACTGAGTTTAACCGTATTGTAAATCAAACTACATCGTACGACCTTAGAGCAGTCACAGAAATTTATAATGTTGACCACTAGACCTATTTTTCTATATCCAAAATAAATTGATTAGTAGTAATTGTCAAGAATTTATAATAGCTTATTTTTTGGCATTTTTTAATTTAGATTTAACAGACAACAAAAAAGAAAGAGAAAATCCGGCACAAGTTAGGAGTCGAAAGAAAATCTCAGATCTTGAATCACAACGTGCATCCTTGATAGTCGTACGTGATTCTGGTTTATCTACCGTAACAAAGGAACAAATAAACACTGTGAAAGAAACCATAAGAAAAGAAAAAACAAAATTGGACAGGTAAGATAATTTAGTTATGTATTTCTTTATTTGATATTTCATTTTAGAATGCTTAACTGTCAGGTTTCTAGTAAATATCAAGAGATATATGTTAAATAATACAGAGTTTATTTATGCGTATAGAAAAGCGTCTTGGCTATAAAAACCAAACATTTTCAAAGACAGAAACTTTCATAATCTTATTGTAAATAATACTTTCTTATTTGAAATAAGAATTTGCGTACTTTTTCTTTTGCAACATTAGCTAAAAGTTGCGAAACCTTAAGTATAGAAGTTTTTATAACGGAATCAAAGCTTTACTGATATTTCGTTTTCAGATTGATTCGTGAATCAGCTCGTCAAAGAAAACGAAGACAAAAACTTAAAGAGAGCATCGAAACTGTGTGTCAGAACATCCCTGAAGCATCAAGTGCTTTGAAACAGTTTAGTCGAAACCATACTGGACGACCGCGTCTCGAAGTTGACCAACCAGAGCTTTTATCAACAATTATAAAAATTGTGCAAAATTTATCAGCAGCTGACGAATGTCGAAGAACAGAATGTCTCCGTAGCGTCTCCACTTTAGATGACCTTCAGGAAGAGTTGACAAAGATAGGCTTTACCTTGAGTAGGAGTGGTTTGTACCTTCGTCTTTTACCACGACGTGGAAACACTTCTGAAGGAAAAAAACATGTCAGCACAGTTCCAGTAAAGCTGTTACGTCCAGAAAACTCAATGCGAAAAAAAAATGACGATAGAATGTTTGCCAAATCATTCATTGACGACATGTTCGAAGTTTGCAAATTGTTTGGACCAAAAGCTGTGCTTTTCATTTCCAACGATGATAAAGCCAGGGTCCCATTGGGTATTGCTGCAGCAAGCCTTCAAGCGCCGTTGCTGATGCATATGGAATACAAGGTCAAACTCATGGATCACGATTTTGTCGTTAGCTCACAGCACAAATTGATCAGTGTATGGCGTATGCGAAGTTAACAATACTGGAAATGTATCATACAGTGGGGACACTTTCATACGCATAAGAAGTGCGAAACACGATACATCAAATGCTTTTACACATGCTTTTGATGTTAGAGAGCTTTTTAAAACCGAGTTGGTTAAACGTAGACCAATTATGTTAATGGAGACTGATGGAGCTCAGGATGAAGCACCACGTTTCCCTAAAACCTTAGCAACTGCTGTTGATCTCTTTCGCTTGCTTAATTTAGATGCCCTTCTTCATGGTGTGAATGCAGCTGGCCTTTCAGCCTTTAACCCCGTAGAACGAAGAATGGCACCTCTTTCTCGTGATTTGGCTGGAATAGTCCTTCCTCATGATTTTTTTGGCAATCACCTTGATTCTTCTGGAAAAACAATCGACTATGAATTGGAGGTAGAGAACTTTCAAAAAGCGGCTGACTTTTTATCCCAAGTTTGGGAGAAAACCGTCATTGACGGGTATCCTGTTCATTGCCAGGCTGTACCAGTTGGGAAAGCATATGAACCACCAATTCCAGATCCTGTTTGGGTAGACAAACATTGTCAGCAATCGCGATACAGCCTACAAATCGTAAAATGCCAAGAGGAGTCATGTTGCACACCGTTTGAAACAAACTGGCTGAAAAACTTCCCCCAACGTTTCATTCCATTTCCGGCAATCTACGAATACTGCGAGAATGGTTACAAAGCAATGGAACCGTCTCGATATTTTAAAAACGTATCAAAACAATCAACGTTTGCACCACTGACACATCGACTTTTGCTACATGATATACCTATAGAAGGATTAAAATACAAAATTATACCATTTGATCTGTATTGCCCATCGTTAAAGGAAAAGCTCTCAAACGGAATTTGCGACAAGTGCAATAAATACTGGCCAAGCGAGGCTGCAATGAAAGGGCACAAGAAAGCATATACACAAAAAAAAAACACGGTTGAAATGGAGAGTGAGGATAGTGTAAGTGACAGTGAATCTATTAATAAAAGTGAAGATATCAGTGAGGAGATTGATTATAAAAGTGTAGAAGCAGAGTTCATGCCTGTATTTGATAACATATTTGATTTATTTAAGTCACCATTTGAGGAAATATGAAATATAAATACTCGCAACAAGAATTCTTTTTTAGAATATTTTTTTTTCTTTAACAAAAACTGGAAAGTTATTAACAAATAACTTTCCGGTTTTTAATTAAGCACAGAGAAATTAACAAAATGTTTTTTTGTGTTTAATGTTTTGGAAAATTAATGCGTTGGGGAAGGAAGGGGAGGAGAGCCTGAACTTGTAATAAAAAATGCGTACGTACGCAGAAGGGGGGGAGGTCGTTGAAAGCATACAAGTGCGTTCAAGGGGGGAGGGGGGGTCCTAAATCAGTGGTTTTACTGCGTACGTACTTTATGGATGGCCCCACATTGTATTTGGATACACATAAAGATGTTAGCACCGTAGAAATAGTTCATAACGGAAATTTTTACACATTATTAAATTACTTCGGACTGGCCAGGAAGGGATTTCCCCCTCCCCTCGGGCCCCTGCTATGCCTTAAGGTTCTGCGCCCCACTTAAAATCAAGATGCACAAGTAAAACACACAAAAATACAAATTAATAATAACTATTTATTGTTTATATGCATTAATTTTGCAAAGACAATGCAATAAGTATGGTAGTTATTTATACGAAAATATGAAATGTTTTATAAAATATACAAAGACATCGTAAAGCTTTATATTATTATTAATTAGTGGTAGAGTAAATTACGTAAGAGATTAAAAAATTCATTTATTACAAAAAAACATAGATAAATTGAGAACTTGCAAAAACTATGGATGCCCATTATGGTAGCTGATAGCGAACTGACAAAACTTCAACAAGCTTTTTTTTTCCTGGGTACAGAAAAGAACTAATTGCTCCGCAAATTATCGTTTATAATAATGCGAAAAGAGAAAATTTGATTGTTTCAGAAGTTTTTGTTCAGAACGAAGCAGTGGCGTACCTACCGGGGGAGGAGGGGGGAAGGGGGGCTAACCGCCCCGGATGTCATCCACTTTTGTGTGACACCCAATTTATTCATATCTTATATTTTATTTTGGTTTATAGTTAAACAGCCTTACATAAAAAAATAAGTGGGTATTTATTTAAACGACCTACGAAATGCTGAATGCTGAAAGATATAGTTATCATTATTTAGAAAATATAATCGGTTAGCTTTCTTATTATTGTCGTTAAAATTACATGTGTCAACGTTTCTAAATACTGCTATAATGATTTCGTATATAAAAATAATTACATATAATATATGGGTGACACCCTATTTGCCGCCCCGGGTGACACCATAACTAGGAACGCCACTGGAATGAAGATAAAAATGAAATGGCTGCTCTGGAGGGAGACGTACTTGAAGAAGAAGATAAAGATTGTGATCAATCTGAGTTAAATAAGATTGAAGAAAAATTAACAACAGGTATGACTCCTTTTATTTTGGCGATGACTTATTCCTTGAGTGAAAAACTTTTTTTCATGAAATTTCATCCATTACAGTCATCAAATGTGTCAGACTTTAATGAAAAACGTGTATATAACAGAGGTGTGCCTAACGGTGAACAAGAAATCATATTCCAATTCGCAGCTGAGGATAAGAAAAAAATTGATCACCTGTTTAGCAGTAAAAAACAATGTGAAGTAAAACAATAGTGCTTTCTTTTAGGTAGAGTAATTGACATCTTTTAGATTAAGTAATTGAAGTTAGAAGAAAGAGCAGGAACAAAAAGTGCATTAAATGTTTGGGTTCACTGTTTATTTTTTTGAGCGAAACAACTGTTAACAGAACCATTATTGTTATTAAAGAACTTATTAAGAAATCTATAGTTAAAAAGGTTTAAGAGTCTGGAAGGATTCGAATTTAAGTTGACTCAAGCCATGATATTAGAATTTCAGAACCCAGTAAGGCGGTTTAAGGTTAATGTATTCTATGTTGTTGTGAATGCTTTCACTATCTATCTAGCAATCAGAGACCATTTCAAAGAAACAAAATTAGAATCTTAAGGGATACTGCTTGTCTGGATCCTCAAAACTTTTCATCTTTACGTGACCATATTGACAACTATGTTTTTCATGATTTAGCCAATCTTCCATTTTCAAACTAATTTTCCATTAGTTAGTAAGGCTGATAAAACTGAATCAGAGAAATGCTTCTCCAAAAAAGACGGCAACAGATGTTTGAGTTGCCTTCTTCGTTTTTTCCATCGCTACAATTTACATTGTTCTGCATGTTCTAATATGTATATTGCATACAGTGAAAGATCAAGGAATTTTTGGTGGGAAGTGGGGCGGGGGGGGGGGGAGATGTTGAAATAATTTTGTATCTTGTACCAAATATGCGTCTTCTAAAAAAAAAAAAGGTCCTCATTTTTTATGATAGTTTTAGGACTTCTAGATTCTGGTGGGGATGGCATAAGTCCATCGCTCCTCCTCAATCGATCCATCACTGGTTGCATATAAAGCAGCCGTGGCGCAGCGGTTAGAATTCTGGCTCGGAACCCAGAGGTCTGAGGTTTGACGCTAGCTCCAGTCTAACAAGCAACCTTGGTGCGGAAGGAGGCGTGAACTTCTAGTTAAATGCTCTCGCGCAGTGCTCCGTGATAAGACTGTAAGGACTTCTGGGAGCATCTAAACAGCCTAAAAAATAAAAGAATGACATTCTTTTCAAAGTTGAAGATTGTGAAAAATTGCCTTTGTAGTCTTTTGTGTAAAGAGCACCTCGAGTCACTTATTTTGATGAATTTTAAAATGACATAAAAAATAATTACAATGAGGGCGTCCGCAGTTTGGCAAAACCATCAAAAATTCTTACTAATTAATTGCTATAATATAATACTCCAAATACATATTTGTTTCTTATATTTTAATTAATAATTTCTATGTAAATAATTATAAAACTTGACAACAAACTTATATTTTTCCTAATACTGACAATGTTATTGCAAAAAAACCATTTTAGTGGTGCGACGCTGCAATTTAAAATTATAGTTTTTTTAAAACCTTTTACACGCATTTATTTTTTTAAACGAGCTGAATAAATTAATGAAGTGCATGGTCAAAGTAATAGAAGTTTGCATCCATATTATTAGAAATTTCTTATACTCTTATAAAAAAACTATGTGACTAAGGGTTTGATTTATAATTGCTAAAATTTTTAGTACGATAACGGCCCCATTAATGTCTCTTATTACCCCGGGCCCTTTAGGACCAGTCCGACCCTGACTTCCCTTTACAAAATTGAAATATTCTCTTGTACAAAAAAATAAAATTGGCTTTGTTCTAACAATTGTTAGAGAAAATTTGTTGTTGTTGTTGTTGATAAATTAACTTAACGATAAGACGAACGTTAGCTGAGTTGTTACAAAAAAGAGCCCAAAGTCGCAGGAAAAGAAGTAAAAAAAATCTAAGTCGCAGGTAAAGAAATAAAATAATAATCTAAATAAAATATTTTTTCAATGTAAAAAAAAATATTTTTTAATTTAAAAAATTTTTTTAATTTGAAATAACATTACGTAAATAAATACCATGTAATAATTAAAATAAAATAATAAAAACCCCTAAGCTAACAACAGCTACTATTTACTCGTCTTAAAATATAACGAAGCCAAAGAGTTACATATACCATCGACGAATGCTCTATTTATTGCCAAAATAGAGTTATGGTTCTTCTCAGAAATCAAAATAAATCATTAAAAAGGCTATATACACAATTTAGAAGCAGATAGTTTGTAATTCAAATTCTGATTCAAAGAAGCAGTATGCTTATGTTCGCAGTTAAAAGCAAGTTAAAGAACTCAACAACACTCTATAGATTACAGACGAAACCAAAACAGTTGACAAGGAAAAAACTCATAATAACTAAATATACTCTAAACAACTAATTTGAATCAGTGTTTGTCATAAATTAAACACATAAAATGCCTGCATTCACTAAAAAAAACAAAAAAAAAATGCAATTT